TCTTTGCAGTTCTGACAGATCCTTCATGTCAGAGGTCATTCTTTGAGTGTCTTTTACTTCTTTCATTCAAGGTGGGATGTGAGCAGTGAGGAGGACTCTCAGCACTGGAGGGCAGAGGAGCAAGGTTAGGATTTTACTGCCAGTCAGAATCACGTGTTACTTTTGGCAGGTTGTATTTTTGTGAATCCAGGCACATCCCTTGTAATTTGTTTTTTTGTTTGTTTTTTTTTCCTGGTGTTACACAACCTTACAAGTACAGGTGAAATGGCAAGGAGGTCCTTGCAGTAAAAGGTCAGTGTTAAAGAACTTCAGATGGAAAATTTGGTCAGAATGTTGCACTCTGAGGGGATCTGTCAGTTTGTGCCTTTGCCTCTGTGATTTTTTGCAGTGGCTTCTGTATTCCCAGAGGAGCAGAGCCAAAAAATGTCATAGGGGCAGCCCTGCTGTCCCTCCATGTGCCATGGGACCCTTTGTGATGTCACTCTCCATTCCAGAATGGTCCCTGACAACCAAAGAGACAATGACCTGAACACCCACATGGCAGCCCCACCCGTGTGCCATGGGCCCCTTTGTGATGTCACAGCCTTTTGTCTCCATTCCAGAATGGCCCCTGGCAAACAAAGACCCAGCATCTTGTACCCCACAGAGCAGCTCAACCCACTTAACCTGCACCCCTTTGTGATGTCATGGTCTATCCTCTCCATTCCGGAATAACCCCTGGCAACGAAAGAACTGATGCCCCACATTGTCAGAATGCAGCCCCAGCTGCCTGCCAGGGGCTTCTTTGTGATGTCATGGACCATCCTCTCTGTTCTGGAATGGTCCCTGGAAAACAAAGAAGCCACACCCCACAATGTCCCAGTGCAGCCCAACCCATGTGCCATGGGACCCTTTGTGATGTCACAGCCTGTCCTCTCTATTCAGTTATCCACACTGGCAACCCAAGAATCAATGCCCCAAACCCTCATAGTGCAGCCCTACCAGTGTTCCCTTGTCCCCTTTGTGATGTCACAGCCTATCCTCTCCATTCCAGAATGGCCCCAGCAACCAAAGAATCAACGCCTCAAACCCCACAGAGCAGCACAACCCATGTAAGTGTTGCCCCCTGTCATGGTCTGTATTCTCCATTCTGGAAAACCCCCTGGATCCCAACGATCCAATGCCCCACACTGTCAGAATGCAGTCCCGCCCCAGGCGGGGGTGTATGACAATACACAAATATCCTTTAATAAAGGGCTGTTATTTTTCCTTTCTCCATACTTGCTCCCCATACTTGGAGCTTCTGAATTTTGGATTTACAATTGCTTAGAGGGAGGAGTTTGGTCTTCCTTCTAACTCGTCCTCCTTAGGAAAACACTCGTGTTTCATTAAACTGAGAGAGATGCAAAATTCCTGTTTTGTTTACAGCCCAGAGATCTTGCAGACTCTTCCCATTTGCCTCTGCCTCTCTCAGAGAACTTGTGTGGACACCTTCCCTGCCTGCACCAGATGACTTCACAAAACTGGGAGGGGGGGTTTTTCATGGAGAAGGACCTGGGGATGTTTTGAGGCCACTCTGGTAGGGGATTGCCAGCGCTTGGCTTGGCAGGGCAACCCCTCCCCAAGCCCTGGCCATGCCAACATGGCCACACCCAGCCCTTCCACCAGGCCCAGGCCCATCACAAATGTGTTCTGGATGCCTTGATCCCAAAGCATCTTTGAGACTGGCACATGTATTGACAATGTCTGAGGGATAAATCCAGATCCAATCTATTCCCTGGATTGGACATGGAGACGTGAGCCCCTCGAGTGAAGACATCTCCATGCCCTGTGTCCAAAGGAAGCTGTGTGTCCATAAACCACGGGATCCAGCTGCGGGTGTGCTCTTCTCTGTGCCCACCCCGATGCTCCCCTGGCTGCA